TGTTTGGAGCCAAAAAATCACCAGTTTGTGCAAATTATGCACTGACCAAATCATTGGAAATTGACAATTTACCAAAAAATGTCTTTATGGATGATTTTTATATGAATGATTTCATATATATTTCAGCATTGATAGAATAAAACCCGAGAACCTCAAACTACAAGTAGTTAGAAGTTTAAACAAAGGGGGTTTCAAGCTGACATATGTTCGAAGTAATGTTGTAGAGTTAACGGAAAATACCGAGGAAAAGGCAACTTCGATTCTTTGAAATAAATGGAACATAGAGTCGGACAGTTAAGCATTCTGTTGAATGAAGGATAAGCCAGTCGAAGGATTCTCACAAAGAGATTTGCTTAGCGTGGTTTTTTCACTATCCGATCCACTAGGACTGATGTCACCCTTCACCATTCGGATAAGGAACGTTTTAAATAACTTCTGGAAATCTGAAAGTGTTGAACGGGACAAAACAATTGCGGAAAAAATTGCTGAAGAGTATGAGTCTTGGAGAAAAGAACTTACACAAATCAAAACATTAAAATCCATAGACATTACTTCAATTTCATTCCAACAGAGGTTGATCTCCATGTGTTCGCTGATGCTTCACCTGAAGGATTTGCGCGGTTGCTTACTTTTGTGCATCAAAGCAAAATGAAACTAAAAACGTATCTTTTTTTGTTTGAAAAACGAGAGTTGCGCCAAAGAAACAACTAAGCATACCACGCTTAGAGCTGCAAGCAGCAGTGATAGCCACAAGATTTAAAGACAGTATACTGGAAACACGTAGAAACACTGTGAACAAAGTCTACAAGTGGTCAGATTTTAGCACAGTACTAGCTTGGTTGTCTTCTGAGAAGAAATTTCCGATCTCGTAGCAAACAGAATCTCAATGGTTTTCGACACCACGACAACCAAAACATGGAGACATGTCAACGAAGAAATGAATCCGGCAGATCTAGGTACAAGAGGACTCACAATAGCCCAAACACTCAAAATTACCTGGTTAGACGGGCTGACCTGGATAAAGAATGAAGAGGAATGGCCAAAGAAATTGAACATCAAAAACGTTGAAACGCAAGAAGTAATTGAAGAAACTTGTATTAAGGTTACAATTAATGAACTTTTGGCCATTTGGCATAGGTTTAGTAACTTTAAACTTCTTCAAAACACAATTCCTTACGTATTCAGAACAATGCGTAAAGAGAAACCCAAATCATTGAGCTTAACAGTTGAAGAGAAGCAGCAAGCTACGAATTTTTTTTCAGGTGTGTTCAACGAGCTAGATTCAGAGAAAAAAGCAATCCCATCTCAAAAAACGGAATACATTTATTGATGCAGAGGGGTTGATGAGAGCAAGAAGTACATTGTCAAGGTCAAAAGACTTATCATTGGCACAATTGCATTCAATTATTTTGGATTCAAAACATCATATAACTGTTTTTTTCCTAAGAAACAAACATCTGGAAAATCTTCACACTGGGATGGAACAACTCAGAAGCATGGTTGAAGAGTCTTTCTGGATTTTTGGTGCAATAATCAAGGCTAATTTTCACCCTGTAGAAAACATACATAGCAGAGGAACGAGTCTCCACTGCTGGCAGTTTTACCTATGTTCAGGATGGATTTCACAAGACCATTCAAAAACACAGGTGTAGGTTACTTTGGACCTTTCAATGTAAAAGTGAGGATATCATCAGAAAAAAGATTGATATGTCTCTTGACTTGTTTTACAACGAGAGCCGTGCATCTTGAAGTTCCTCATGATTTTTCAAGCGAATCAATGTCAAACTGCTTGTTTCGATTCATCTCTCGAAAAGATAAGCCAGGTTTTAGCGTGAACGACAATGGGAGGAACTTTGTTGGAAAGAACAACTTTTTACAAGAACAAATTAAAATATGGTTGCCAAAAAACAAAGAATCAATGACAAAACGATACATTGAAAGAAAGTTTGACCCGCAATGGAGGTGTAAGGGAAGGACTAGTGAGAAGTACAAAAAAAAGGCAATGTATAATGTTATGGGAACACAAAAAATGACGGAGGACATTTTGACCACAACTGTCTGCATAGTTGAAGTCATTCTTAACCAAAGATCTCCCACATCAGATTTGTACGACATTGATTGTTACGAAGAGATTACATCAAATCACTTCTTGATTGGATTATCAAGATAGGAATTGTTCCGAATAAACTTGAAAAACTATGAAGGTCATCGGAGGAGATGCTAATCAAATCTGGCGCAGATTTCAGAAGGAATACAAACCGATGCAATTGGCAAGAAACAAATGATTCAAAGATGAGAAAAAACAATTCCGAGAAGGTGACCTTGTAAAGATTGTAGACCCACAAGTATTCACCGACAAACTTCACTTAGGAAGGATTTTGAAACTACACTATAGTGAAGATAATATCGCACGATCTGTAGAAAATAAAACAAAATGGGAATCTGTGAATGACCGATTTTTAAGTTTTGTAAAAGTACTCAAAGTCAAAATAAAAGAACTTAGTTTGAAGTTGATCGTTGATCTGATTTAGAAAAAATGAAAAAACGCATTGCAATTTTTGGCGATAGTCACGTTAATTATCTGGGAAGCATTTACTCGAGTGGTTACCATGAATCGGAAATGAATTTCATTGGATTATCTGGATTAAGGTTACCTATTGGAAAGATAGGGTTATCACGCAAGATTTGCAGAGACTCGCTCATATTGTAATTATGGGTGGTGGAAACGATTATGCGATCATCCGAGAAAAGAGTTTCCGAAATCAAAAAGGCCCAGTGAAACCACAAAACCGATGAAGGAATGGGTTGACGCAATTACCCATCAACGGATTCTCATTTTATCTGTTCCACCAAGAGATTCTTGGCAAGCGGAAATAGAGGTCCTCAACAATTTCCTCGCATTTAATTTTGAAACAGTTACGAAGATATTGGTAGAACCCAACTACAAATCAAACACGGATCATGTTCCTTACGATCATCACAATTACAATACGCGATACTATCACAACTGATAGAAATAATTATTGGTTGGCATATATAGCTTGTTTATCTTGTTTGGCCGGTGATATTCAAGATCAAACAATCTGACTCAAATTATTAGGATATATCCTTTTAATTACCATTTAATTATTATAATATATTTTGGCTTCTGATGCCTAAAAGGGGCCCAATATTATCGCCGAGCAGCGGACCTATTGATTGGCATCTTTTTTGCCTCCAATGACTTTTCACTTATATTTTTATTATTATAAGCCTGAGGCATTTTGACTGCAATCTGGATTTGAACTACACTAATCATTATCATTTTGGGGTAAAACTTGAATTGTCAGAAAATTATGGCGCAGACTTTTGACAAGTTAGACGAAATAACAAAAGAATTAGGAAACAAATCTGAACAGCTCTTACGACAGAAAAGAGGGACAAAAAACTTGATACATGTCTCGATCGAACAAGAACTGCTAAAAAAAATTGCATCTAACAAAATACGACTAAAGATTATTTAAAAACATTTAACATGTATTCCGCTTAACTATATTCTAATCTCACTTGTGTGTTTCTCAAGTTAATAAAAAATATACTATTTAATTGGGACTCGTTTTTTTTTAAATTCTGATCGTAAACTCACAACAGTAAAAAGAAATTGTTATTCCGCATCAGAAAAAATTTCCAAAAACATATTAACCACTAAAATAAAAAGTTAGGCTGCAAAGTCAAGTGGCATCTGGTCACACTAAATTATAGGCCTCTAAATTAAGGGTAGCAGGAGGTAGTTTGGAAACATCTAATTTGTTGGTAGCAGGAGGTAGTTCGGAAACATTGGTTATGGTTTGGATTTCATCATTGTCGCTTGTTTCCATCGAATTCCCAGAAGGTTCCACAAATGATCGGGGAATTGAAGTAAAAAAACTGATGATTCAACATTGGACGGGCCAAAATCTGAAAATCAGAGAAAAGGTTGACTTTAGAAGCCAATTTGTCAGTCGATTCCGGAGTTGAGCCTGCGCACATTTGTTCAAAGTAAAATCTGTGAAATCCAGTAAAAAACTGAATCCCCGCAATAAATTGCGGATGTAGTGACAAATTGCGAAATCCAAAGAAAACAAGACTGCTCGTATCAGGACAAAGCCCTGAGTGTTTCGACTGCCTTTCAAATTCCATGGAGCAATAATAACACGAAAAAATAAATAAAAAAAAAACAATTTTTTTTTAATTTGAGATTTTTCCAGAAAAACATCACCCCACACGCCATATAAAGTACAAAGTGATAGATTTCCCTCCTAGCAACAAATCATTTATGGCAAATAGGCTTCCTTCAACCAATTTCGAACGATTTCTAAGACGGATTTAATTTCTGCTAACGAGTTAAATTAAATCGCGCGTTAATTGTCCCAAATTGCCCAAAGTGACAAGTTAAAAACCCCCATTACTTTTAAAAAAATGATAACAGGCGAAACATATTTTCAAATTTAAGCTCAGGAAATCAATAATTTTTGACTGATATAAAATAAACTCCGTCAGAAACTGCTTATTAAAAAGTGTAAAAATAACCATCCCGAGCGCAATTTTTCCGTTACATTGGTTACGTAAGTCGGAGCAAAAATAACGATTGTGGTGAAGAAGGCGGCTGAATCCAGCAAAATTTAGTTTAATTTAATTAGTGTCAAGAACCAGAATACGTTCGTTAGTGGATTCCATAACAACAGATAAATTGTTAAGAAATCGCGTGGGTATTATTTGTCCTTATTTGTTTAAAACTTATATTATATTTGTTTGAAACTTATATATTTGTTTAAAACCTTAAACACATATAGAGGATGAACAGAAGCGAGCGAACACTCTTTTGTGCTCTTGTTGTACGACCAAGTTTGGCGTCGTAATTATAACAAAAGTAATTAAAAAGATTTAGCTCTCAAAAATATGCTTTTAACAATTTTACTATGTAGATGATTTCTTTTTTGTTTAATAATTTGCAGCGCCTTCATATTTTTTGGCAATTGCAATGAAAACTCGGATGTATTCATGATATCATTTTAAGAAAACAAATTTTATGTATTCATTTTTTATTGGCTGAAAAAAATAATGAAAACGATTTAACATTTGTTTTGGTTTCGGGTTAGTTGTCGATAAAAGCTGCCTTCATAATTGATCATGGGACTTGAGCAGGACTACGAATTCGTGCACATTTATTCTGTTGTCATGGTCGATGTCCAACTGAAACAAAATATGTAAGATAAAGAACGGGATACTAACACGCGAAAAAAAGATTGCACTATCGAGTAAGTTTTTCGAGTGCATCATTTTATATATTGACTAATTTTTATTGAAAACATTAAAGCATGTAGGCAGGGGCGGATTTAGGGGGCGAGGGAAGCGGACGCCCTTCCTCTCAGGGATTCCACCCCTGCCGACCCAAAGGGTCCCCCCTTTGGTACTTTTTAAGAAATCAATTTTTGGCCGACCGACCCAAAAAATTTTCTAAAGGCGCCTTTGGGCGCCAATATATACTAATTTTGAGGGGGAAGCGCGCGCCAAAAAAAGCAATTTTGTGGTCAAAATTTTCCAAAAAGTGCGGCGCAGAAAATTTGGCCAAAACAGGGACTAAATTGTGCTTAGGGAGAACTCAAAAGATCAATTCGGTCGACCTAAAAAAAAGGTCGATAAAATTTTCAAAGCGAAAAATCGAACTATTTCGCTTGGAAAAACTTCATTAACCACTACCTTATTTTGAAGATGGTGACCAGTGACATAAAGCGCTTTCAGATGTTATTCGCTAAAGTTATAAAAAATAAATTATTTTTCATGGCATCGAAAAAAAACAGTTTGAAGTTTCAACTTTTTGAACGATATTCGGTTGAAGTGAGTGAAAAGTAACCTTTCGTTAATAAGGTTTTTAACCAAATGAAAGTAACTAAAATTTTTTTTTATCTGACTTCTAGCCAGAAGTTTGTAGCATGTTCTAAGTTAACTTTATATCCTTCCACCCACACGCGCTTGAAAACATCATTTTTTGTTTTTTAATTTTCTTGTTGCACAAAGAACAGCGGTTGGATTCTTCTGTGCTATTTTGTTCATTTAATTATTTTTTGCAAGTTCAGCAGATAAAAACTTTTTTCAGTTGAAGAGTACTTCTTCTTTGAGCATTTTAAGCTCATTTTGGGCCGAACGCTTTTGAGAAACATACACTCAATTCTGATCAAAAATAAAGAAAAACGTCCAAATTCGGTTGATACACTCGATATAAATTCATTTTGACCGGTAACGTGGGAGAAATGTTTGCTTTACCTCTGACATCATCTCATCTACTTCTTCGTCCGTCATAGTGTCCCCACACTCAGTCAACGCTTTCCTACAACAAATACGTCATATCAAACACCCTCAAAATTGAGCATTTAGTTGCAACGAGTCGCAGACAATCTAGGGCATGCCTCGACAAGCTGAACAGTCCCTTGTGTAAAGTCCGGGGTTCCTTGCTGTAATGTGAGGGAATCCATCGTGTGTGAAAATTTTGACAGCCAATCAGAATTCAATATTCATAAATTGGGAGCAAACAAGCGATAAAATCGGTCAAATTACAGGGCGTTGATTGGCTGAGAATTATTGCGAATTTTGTCCTTCGTGCATGAGAGTAGCACCCATGCATGACCTTGGTGTAGAAGAAAATTTAAAAAAATATATCTCTTTTATGTAAACTCACATCCTTTATATGATTTTAAAATAAAATAAAAATTTTCAAAATATATTCAAGTGGTATATTCAAGTGCTATTCAAATATAACCAAAAGCTATACTAAGATTTTTTTGAAACTTTTAAATTTCTGATTCCAAAAAGGCGCTAAAATATTTAAAAAACTAACGTTACTTGAGTAAAACTAACTTTTTACGTTTTATATTTAGCTAGTGCAAGCGTTTAAGCTAGTAAAAGAAGCTATTGTAAGTTTAGATACTCGCTTTATTCGCTCGAATCAAGGTAAAAAGTCAAAAATTTTCAATCGGTTTTTCTCGGCATATGTTTTGATGGCTTTGTTTAGTTTTCGTCCAATTTTTTTAACTCTAAATTCCCAAACAATTTTCGTTGAGTTTCGCCAATATTAAACTTGCCTAGAAATTTGCCTGAATTATAAATGTGACTAATTATTCCAACTTTCAAAAAACTGCGGAATGTTTATGCTTGGGTGTGGTTTTTTTAATCAGTCAACTTTTGACTATTAAACAAAGAGTTTTTGACAAATCTTTGTATACCATCTGAAAAAAATTGTTGCCTTAAGCTTAAACTTGAAAAGAAAAGTTTTATCTGAGAGTTTTTTGATAAGGTTACGGGTGTTTGAAAATTGCTATTTTGGCTATTTTGGGATAAGTAGCGCAATAAATTGCCTTCTTATGCCACGCGTATGTGTCAAATTAATGCGCTTCAAATTTTTCACGCTTTTTTTTGGCCTAAGAAACCAATCGGAACATTCAAGGCTTTCCCTTAATATACGAGAAGTTTTGTTGGATTACGTATCTGTCGGACATTAATTATTCATAGGCCAAAACTGCATTTCGAAAACAGTGTATAAGTTTAAATTCCAAGACCTTACGATACATATTATAAAAACTAGCCGAGGCTGCGCTAATAGCACAGAATTTTCCAACCTTAATAAGCTTGCTTGCTTTCTGTACTCGCTCGAAATTAGATTAAAACTCAAAAAATTCAAACCTGGAAAAAATTTCTCGACACTGAGAAAACGTTTTGAAATTTTTTATTGTAGTTCGAATCAGGGCTGAAAAGGCTTAAAATGATATATCTCTCCGCCCATTACGATAGTTATTTGCGTTAAAAACTCTTGCTTGAAAAACAAAAAAAGCCTTCTCGGTCACCTTTTTTGCTCGTAATTAGACCAAAAACCACATGGGAAAGATTTCGACACGGGGAACATTTTTTCGAAATTTTTTTTTTCGTTCGGATCATGACTGATAGGATTTTATTATGATGTATCAATCGAGCACTTCCGATGATCATTTGTGGCACCTGATTTTGTGTGGTAAACAAAAAAAGAAAAAAAATCGAAAATACACTCGAATACAAAGTTCCTCCCCCTTTTTAATTGTCGGTAGAATTACAATAGCTTTTTCAGGGTAATGTTACATAAAAGTAAAAACCAGATAAGAAAGACATAACACTCAAAAAAGTGTGGATGCAGCCACAAAGCAAAATCATTATTTTAAAACTTTGTTTGCGAACGGAAACTTTATCACTTTTTTTGTTTTCTCTGCAACTAATTGGGATATAGGGCTGAAACTTGACAGAAGCTAGGTGATACTATTTGAAAAGGGGTCCTCCAATCAAAATTTAAGAAATTCTGTTTTGAAGGCTGAAAACAAATAGTATATCATAACTAGTTCAAGATATCTTCTTGGTGTGGAAACATCTTCGCAAACAAGGGCGGATCAAGGATATTCTCGAGGGGGCGGATTTTCAAAAAAGTTTGACAGTTGGCAAAAAACTTTGCGCCTCAGGTAAATTATAAAAAAATGGCATAAATGCCTTCTTTGGGCATTTTTTTTGAAAATTTTCATAAAAAAACTGCGACAAACACCAAGAATAAAAAAGTTTTGGTGTTTGTCAGCCAAAAGTGGATATCATGAAATAATACCAATAGTGGGACTCTTTGGTCGGTGGGGCGGTCGAATCCCTTCAAGGGAAGGAGAAAAGCCGCATCCGCCAAATCTGCCCCTGTTCGCAAACATCAAAAATTTTCCAAATTACAAGTTTCCAAACTACACCATTTTTCGAAAAAACATTCTTTTTTTGCTAGAAATTTGAGTTACGTCGATAATAAGTCTCCAGTGGTTGAAAGACTTTTATGAATAGTGATCCGGAAAAATGATTTTGAGACGGAAACCGTACTGATTGCAGTGAAACAAAGGAATCACAAGTGGATAGAGGCTGTCAAATGTGCACTTCTTCAAATATGCACATTAGAGACAGTGTAAAGCAGAGTTATAGGCCAATAGTTTGCAACCAACATGCACTCTTCTTTATTTAACACCGGGTTGTTTTTCCCGACAACCCCCGGCAAAAAGTACCTGTTTAATTTACATTTGTAGAGATTGCGGCGATCGATTTTGAAAACGCTGGTGTTTTTTAGTAAAAAGTAGGCGAAGAATCAATTGGAGCATTCCTAAAAACCAGTTTGAGCCGCTAAATTTAAATTCTTTGTGCTGATTGCAAGGATGCTTCCACAGCAAGAACACTTGTTAAACTAGTTATGATAAACTTGCTATTTTATGCATTCAAAAAAAATATCGCAATCATTGATCTGGCTGCATGTTTGAATAATTTCATCTAGCATATATCAAAGGGCCAGTCCTATAGGCCAAATGATTAATTAATTCCAGATAAAACGACAAAACATGATGTAAAACTTCGTTTATTTGCTTGTTCAAATCAAAAAAATGCATTTTTATGTTTTGTGACAGTAGTTCAAGTTGTATTCAAAGAATTTTTCGACAGTTTTGTCCTTCAAATAATGACGATTTCACAATGCAACAAAAAGTTTTGATTGAAGTGATAATTTGGCCTTTGAAATAATTTACGAATTCATTTTCAATCAGCACAACAGCGCAAGGAGGCTCAGCAAAATTTCGCACCACTTGCGATACCAAAAGAAGCTGATGAGTAAAAAAAAACGAAAAACAATTAGGTTCCAAAATTATACGAAAACTGATTTCAAAAAGTTTGAAAAAAAAATTGACAACAGTCATCAAAAATTAACCCAATTGAAGTAATCAGAAGAAAACAAAAACAAGATAGTTTATAGCAAATCAATCATCTGAAATGGCTTTCATGCACGCTACTTATAAGAAGAATGACGCAGCTCGAAGCCGGTGACAACTTTAAAAAACTCTTAAAATGTGTGCCAAAACTTTTACTAATGAAATATTTTTTTTACGCAGAGGCAAAGCTGCGCTTCGCAAACACAAGCGTGGAAAATGCAAAAAAAAGCTCTAAACAGGCTAAACAAAGCGAAATTAAAAAAATTAAAAATAAACCTTGAGAAAAAAATTGTGAGGTTAAGAGTATGATGTTCTAACATCTGCTCCACGACTTTCAAAACTTTCACACATGAAGTTGAAGTCATGGTGTTGAAGTTTCCAAAAAAAACGACAAAAAAATTTGAAGAATGGATTTTTGCGAAGTCGAAATCAGTTCTTTTACAAATAAATAGGGTAAAACAGATTGCACAGGGAAAATCGAAGACCCATGATAGTATGAAAGAGCTATCAAACTCAGAAACAGCAGGTAAGTTTTGAAAAAAAAATTAAGTTTCCAAAAAGCAGCAAAAGATCAAAAATTGGATTTTTCTAAGCCATATTTTTTTCAAAACACAGGGCATTGCAGCTTTCGCTGGAAAGATTTGCAGAACTCATTGTGTTTCTTTCGGTTGAACCCATAATCTCCAATTTAGCAGGGTAGTTTTTGAGAAAAGTCAAAAGTTTTAGAAACTAATAAAATGTCAAAAAATGCGCTTGTTTGAGGCGACAACTTTTTTGAATACTAAATTTAGGGAATAGCCGATTGAGAAAAAGACATTCCCATAATTTGCTCGTTTCTGCGAAAAAAGCAAAAACTTTTCAAAGCCTCGCAAAAAAAAAGCAACAAAAAAAAACAAAAACCATACGTTTTCATAATACCTGTTTATTTTTCAACAGGACCTACACTAGGCAAAATAAGCATTAAAATATGCTTTCAAGTTGCTTATGCCTAAATATGAGTAAAATTAATTGTACCAAAAGTGCCACCGTTTGGAAAAAAAAATTCTTGGTAATAATACACTACGCTTTGCTGGTGTAAATAATATCAGTGATTCGAGAACAGTAACGCTCCAAATTGAGTAGATATTTATTAGAACTTTAATTCAACTATGTTGACTCAACCAAAAAATAAGGTCGAAACCTAGAGCTATTTTGACTCCACTAAAAAAATTTGCAAAAAAATATTACAGTTATGGAAGCAAACTATAATGTTTTGCTTGGAAATTCAGTCGACAAAATAAACGCCAAAATTATTGAGCCAAAAAACGAAAGTTATAATTGTATAATTTTTGAACAGTTTATAATCAAAATGGAACAAAGTAATTTAATATTTCGGGGATTTATAATGAGAAATTGCAACGAAATTCTAGAAAAAAACTAAAATAGTATCATTATTTTGTAAAAACTGTTAGAAATCTAAACTTGGGTTATGTCAACTGAAATAGTTTGTATTTTGGCGAGCAATTCAATGATTTTAAATAACTACTTCGAAAAGTATGTGAAAACTACAGGTCGTTGATTCACTACCACAGATTATTTCAAGCAAAATTACTTGGTGGAATAAACCAAAGAAAAGAAAAAGTATTCTAGAAAAATTGGAAAATTTATCATATGTTTTTTTTTTCAGTGACAGGATCTGCGAGGTTGATTTTGAATATTAGAGAACTGCCATCGAAAATTTTCTGCAAAAAAATAAACATTCACAGAAATTTCTGCAGAGAAAAAATTAACATTGAAAGAAACATGAGAGTTTGCATAAAATGAATATACTTATACTTGAATCATTTACACAGCATACACTAGTGCATTTACCATTTGAGCCTTTTTAATTTCTGCCATTCTATTTGCAAAGTTGTTTTGCAAAGTACCCGAATGCAAAAGTGGAGAACAGAGGACTTACTTGAGTTCGTCCGTGGAAATGAATCCATCTCCGTTGACGTCGAAGAATTTGAACGCATTCTGCAGGGCCTCAGGGTCATGTTTGCTAAGCATGGCCTTGGCCATCAAAATGTACTCGGATAGTTCTATCAAGTTCGAATCTAAAACAAAACAGGCTCAAACAATAGGGTGACCTTGCCTAAGTCTGACTGACCCCACTCACTCCTGGCTATCAAGAGTTGTCAAAACGTTCTTTTGAAATTTTTTCCGATGCGCTGTTGGCTTTTCTCAGAAAATCCATCATTCGAAATGTGAAGTATAGTTTTATGTATGAGCCGTTTTGCATTAAAAATCAACTTGACTGTGGCAGTTAGTGAACAGTAAAAACACTTTTGATGTACAAAGTTAGAAAGGAGAACTGTTGAGCTTTAGTGAGGTGATGATGACACTGGTAGGAGATATAATCCGGGTCTTTTTGGTTATAGCGCAGCCCCCCCCCCTCTAAATGACATTTGAGCAGCTCAAACTTCGAAACGTGAAACTGAAGCAAATCCGCTTTTTGTTTTTTTTTTCTGTTGACCCAAATACCCAGGCCATTAAATCAACCTGTAATATTGCAAAAACTTCAGAAAAGACGACAAAAACAAACGCAATTGAATCGTGAAGAAAACAAGTACATGAGAAAAGAGCCCGTTTGGGGCTACTTTAGATTAGTATTGCTTTATTTTTGGCATCATTTAAAATAACATCTTGCATTTGTAAATAACATAGATCCATTTTTTAATGAACAGTTTCGTTTTTCATCATTTAGGGGGGGGGGGGGGGGGGGGGGGCGAAAAGACTTTATCATCCTAAAGCTGTACTGGCCCCATAATAATTCTGCAGCCAACCTTCGTGAGTTTCTGAATGACAGAGCCAACCTTTTCATGTTCCAAGGATCCCTGGCTTTTATCGCCCCAATGAAATATGTTAACCAGCTATCTTATAATTTACTAGTCGCCGTCCTTATTTTACCCCTCCAGGTTTACCCCCCCCCACACACACACACACACACTTACACAGTTTACCCCTCCTCAAATTAACTCCCCCATCGTAGTTTTACCCTCCCCTCCGTTTACTGAACGTGGGGGGGGGGGGGGGGGGGGTGTAAAAAATGTGAGGGTAACCTGAACAACTGAGTATACTCCCTCCCCCGTCACCGTTGAAAATTGTAAATAAACTGGGGGGACTGTAACTTGGAGGGGGGTTGGGGATAAACTTTAGCAAACATGGGGGTGGGCGTAGGGACAAACGTAGGGGAGTGGGGGATGGGTTTTGGGCAAACGCGGATGGGGAGCAAAGTGGGGAGGGGGTTAATTCGATTAGGTTTAGATTGCGAATAGGCCGTGAGTAACGCAGAAATGCTGCAAATTTTGCAAAAGATTTTGCAAAAAAATGTGTAGATTATAATCCGTTATAATCAATTATAATAGATTTTGAATGGATTATAATCTATTATTATATTGGATTTTAAATGGATTATAAACCATTATAATGGATTTTAATGGATTGTGTTTTTACGAAAATATTCGATTATAATGACAATATAATCGATTTCGTGGTCTAAATTTGCCTAAATAATGGATTATAATGACAACATTTTAGACAACATTTTACCATTATAATCGATTATTATCCATGGAACTCCGGTGCGGGAAGAGAATAAATTGAACATTTCTCTACAGAAAAAACAAGAAAACCTGGGCAGATAATCTATATAAAATTTCTATGTAGAAAAACCGCATAAGTTGTGTACGGGTGCAATTCTCAAACAGTTCATCGTAAGAACTACTTGAAAGATGACAAACAAGTTTGCAAAAAATGACATATCAAAAAAAAGTCGGTGAAATTGCTAATACAAGTACTATCATTATGCAAAAACTGCGAAATTGCTTTTAAATTACTCAATTAAATAAACTACTTGCATGTAGCAAAAGAACAAACAAAAACACAAGTTGAGCTGGCTAAATTTCAGACAAAGAAGGCAAAAAATTTCAGGCAAAAAAGAACAAAAATAAAAATTCGATCTTATTACGTTAGTGCAAAGATTGATAGTTGCAGAAGTCCCTTTTGCTATCCTTACGTATAAGGTTTTTGGCTGGCGATTAGCAAGCATTATCAAATCGGAATGTATACTTTTTTTCGGATTAACAGTTAGATTTACAAATTTACTTGAATCATTAAACATCTTGCTTCATATTAAATCCAAAGCAATGCGTTAGTTTTCGCATGTGATTTAGAGGTGAGGCACTTGCCTAAAAATTTAGGATAAATGGTTCGAATCCGGGCAGAACTAGTTTTTTTTGTACACAGAAAATTTAGCCAAAAAATTGTTGTCAGACTTCTGTTTGTCTGCTTGTTTTTTGTCTGCTTAATTGTCACAGCCAGCCCAGATTTTGCCTAAGAATTAAGCATATTTGCTAAAATTAAAAATCTTATATATCACGGTACTTCGGCATAAAAAAATTGCTATACTTCTTTCGAAGAGCTCATTCACCGAAGTTGAATTGTCAAAAGATAATCTATGAACATTAAGGGATATAGAATGGCTAGATCGTACCTACTGTTGCGAAATTTTGAGTTTTTTAAAAAATATTTAAAATGTTACTGTTGTTACAGTAATGTCTCTAAATTCTATTATTTGGATAAATGATTCGGATTTTCTATTATTCGGAGCTAAATTTCGGATATATAATTTTGAATTGCAAATGGAGCGAAGATTTTCTTCTCTTCTGAGCAACTCAAGCCATTTTTTATTTTTTGAGGAGATTTTTTTGTTCATTGATCTTTGAAAACAGTTTCTTATGTATTGAATATACTTTGAAAGTTCTCATGGAAAGTATTGGACGTAGCTCGTCTGGTCCTTTATTTTAGAAACAATGTTTCCACAGATTGGAATTTTTTTCTGATTCAATAATTTCTACTATGAGCGAAATTAATTTGGAGTTTAGTTAAATGACTTTTTTACCATGTCAGTCAGCGTCACAAGAAAAGAAAGGCCGAGCTTTATGAGTTAAATTATCTGAAAATAGGATTTAACTTGATATAAAAAAAATTTGAGGTAACAAACTTTTCTTCTTCACAACTGATTCAATCGCGTGTTTTGATTTTTTTGAGTGAGTTTTCTTGACTTTAATGTGTAATAGAAATTAAATTGATTGTAGCTAGCTATGAAAAAACTGTTTTAAAATTTATAAACTGTTGTGGTTTTCAGTGCCCAATCTTTTTGAAAAATTTTTTACTGGCACAAAGTTTTTAAATTGTTTCATTGTGAGCTGATCGAGATAAATTCACTTCCGCGATAGGTCATATATAACGTTTCTGCAAATCTTGAGCCTTTTTGTAAGACTGGTGATTCTACTTTGTTAGATGTCATAGGAACCCAAGCCTACGATTGATTACTCGATATGATAAGTATAAAAATAATTTAAAAAGTCAAGTCCAAAGTAGTTCGATTTTCAAAAAACTAGTCCCTCCTATGCCAAAAACATAAGGGCGGAACGAAATCAGGCAAATATATACCCCTCCCTCGGAGTAAATACCCGTCAAGATAGAAACATGAAACTCATATGAAGGATACTAGAGAATATTTGACCCGGGTATTCAAAATAAGGGACCCATCGGACTCCCCTGATTGAAGTGATGGCCGTTCAAGGAAGTATAAATTGCCTTTTTGCATCTCGGTACTAGCAGCGGTTTTGGGCTCAAGTTCTCATCTGTGGTAGGACTAGACAAGGGATGCTTAAGTATGGATCCCCAGACACCCTGGACCACCATTTCCATTTTTATGCCCTCAATAACCAAACCCTCCTCTAATTTTCTGAATTATTTCTCGAATCCAGGTAATCGTAAAAAACAGAAACTTGGGGAATTGGTGGGAAGTGAGACGATACAACCCTTGTTATAAATTGAACCATCGCCAACAGTCAGATGGGAAGCTATTAGCCTTAGGAAAACGACCTCCTATACCGAAAAAAGGCAATTTCCGCAAAAAAAAGATCGAGCTGTACCGATTTTATGACAGTTCTGCCACTTAGACCGGAGCACAAAGAAACTCCTGGAAAACTAATTTCCGCCGGTGTCACCTTTAGAGAGAAATTCTCGGGGAAAAAATTACGGAATCTGAAAATGGGATAACCAGTGAAACATTTATCGGATATGTAAGAAACTTGTGGATGGAGTGAGTTAACTAAACTTTAGCGTAACAACTGATCAAAAAAATGGAGGGTGCCGGAGTGCCCCAAGAGGACGAAAAATCATAAAGCATAAAACGACAAGTCGGTTTCTAGCGACACGAGTGCAAAAATTAGGTCGATTTGACCTCGGAAAACAGTGACTGTCAGATCAGTGCGTGAGCGACATTGGAGTTAGAAAGCCTCTACTGAGAAATGGTTCAAACGATTACAAACTAGAGTCAATTAGAACTACGAGAGGCAGTTTTTAAAGTTACTCGCAAACCTAAAAACCTCGATAATTGATAGAAAATATTCCTGTCAACCAATACGTTTTGTATTTTTGAATATGTTTTTCTTATCTTGATTTCAATTACTATCAAATATCTTGAGAGTTGAGTCTGAAGTTGAATCAGAAGAGCCTGAACGACAAAAAGGGGTGCAGCAGAGTTTCCATGCAGAAAAGAGACGGACGCTAGGAAGTAAACTTTTATGCCAGACGGCACAGTTTGCTTGGAGCAAATTGAAGTTCAGGAATTTTGGCGATACTAGGCGCGAATTGCGCGAATTGAAATTCTTGAACAGTTAAAAGACAAATCCATCGCGAAAGAAGATAAATGACCAAGATCGGAGCTTACGGTTTAGGAGGCAATAGCTTGAAAAAAAGCAAGTTATTCACAATTTATGACAATCAAGCTAGATCGAGTCCCGTCGAACAGCTGCCAAAACTGGGCGGATTGGCGGACGCATTTTGCTTGGGCTGCAAATTCAAACTGCCGGGACGACGAACAAACTAGTATGCCACTGCCAACTTGTTTGACAGGCTGGGCTTTAGTCTAGATCACCACCATGTCTGCCCACTTCCAAGAAGAGGTCGAATGCTTCCACGAACCAACAATGGCTAAGAAGGCTTGACGAGCCCGACTACAGTATGATGCTATTTCAGATGC